CAATATTCTATTCATTTAAGAGGTTAAAAAAATAATTTCTCTTAAAATTTTTTAATTCATGTGTAAATGATTTGTTTTTTGATTAAATTAAAAAAAAATTAATCTTAAAAATTAGTCTTAAGGTACATGTAATCTAATTCATGGATGCCCTAACCACTAAACCAATTACAAAAAAAATTAAGTTGCTTGAGCATATAACAGTGAACCAAATGTAATGTAGCTCTCAATAGAGACCATGGAGAAGACACAAATGTTATATTTATTTTAATTCGATACAACAGTGAATCAATCTGATGACACAGCCAGAGATCGTCAATATTCCCCAATGCACATACCCCACATGATATTACCCGCGGGATACCGCACATGATTTTGCAACTTGAAAAGGATAGGATGAGAATCAAGCCTTTAGTTTCAATGATTCGATCCCAAACTTTAAGTGTTTAGGTGAAGTAGTTAGAGTTTCAAACTCCACCACTATCATGAATTCCACCAAAAAGTAGTTTAATAACCGCGCGCTTTATTTGACGGGATGGAATGTTCACCCGATTTAAGAATCAATTGTTAACAATTAATTTATACTAAATTATTAACCATTACCTTTATAAAAAAAAAAAAAAAAAAAGAAAGAAAGAAGAGAAAGAAAAGAGAAAAGAGAAAAGGATAAAAGAGGACAGAGTTGTGGTACACATTCATAAAAAGCCGTAGATGGGGGATAGAGCTTCCCCTTAAGATTAGGGGGTGGGGCCGTTTGGACTTGAGCGTGACAAAGTTTCTTAAAAGGATTGTGACAGGAAATGAAAAACACTCAACTCATCGGCCTCAAGATCAACTTGACTTTCCACTTTAAAATTTCAGCAAAGACGAATACGTCGCATCTTAGGATCCATATTCCACACTACTGCATGCCCTACATGATATTATGCACGGGAAGCAATGGCACAGGCTAGGAACATCTAATATGCTCCATTCTCAAGCGACCACGAAGACAGCGCAGTTCTGAAAGTGGCCTCCATCTCTGTCCCCGAATTCGGCCGTCTTATGTCGTCATCTCCGGCACCGTCATCATATCCGGCTAGCTTCCATCTTTGAAAGGTTCTTCACTCTAGGTACGTGCAACTGTTTCTACAGTTTTATTGAGTTTTTAGGTGCTTACTGAACCTTTTCCGTGCTGTCTACTGCTTACATATGGCTTCCATTAATGTATAGTTCAATTGAGAGTTTCCATTCTCTTTCTTTAAAGGCTCTTGAAAAACTAATTAATTTGATGTTTCTGAAAACATCTCATTAAAGTTTCTTAGATTTACTGGCTTCGGTTGTAGTTTAGATAGAGCTTCCATCTTCATTCTTCAATTAAAGGTTCTTGAAAAACTAGTATATGATTTTTCTGAAATTGATTTTATTAAGGAATTCCTCTTTTCGTGTAATTAAGCTTCCGGTGACTCATCTAGTAAATATGTCTATGTAGGAGCAAGAATCGATTTACACCGAAATTTTAATTTTCGTTGTGTTCGATCAAGCTCTAACGCTTGCGGAGGTTTAATTTATGATCAAATGCAATGCACTTATATCTCGCTATGTTTAACTTGTGTGTA